AACTCCCTTTTGCGTAGGCGGAATCCCCGGCGGAAACTCCGCCGGCGTCAAACTCCATCCGCCTGTGCGTAGGCGCTCGCCTATGCGTAGGCAAAATCCGTCCGCACACAAGACGCTCGTCCGCGCAGGTCCCTCGTCGTAGGCGCAGCGCCGAAGGCGGCTGTGCCAAAGGCGTTGACCGTCAACGGACTCCGTCCAGTCTGTCCATCTCTCTCGCCTCTCCGTCGGCGCTCTTGTCTCCGAAATCCCGACCGGCCAAAGGCGCACTCGTCCGTTCCGTCCGTACAGTCAGTATGGTCCGTACGGATTTCGCTACTCCCTTGGGTCCTCACCTAACCGTGATGCGCTGGCGCCGAAGGCGCCGTACAAGTTCCAACCCCGAAGGCGGATTTCCCGCCGACGACGAAGCGCCTATGCGTAGGCAATCTCCGTCCGCCTGTGCGTAGGCGGCATTCTCGGCGGGCTCCCCGCCGACGTCCAACTCATTTCGCCTATGCGTAGGCGAACTTCCCTCGCCTATGCGTAGGCGAAAGTCTTCGTATCTTTCGACCGTCACAACTCCCTGAGTCCTGATCCGTTCCGGGCGTTCTTGGGCTTGTTAGAACGAGCGCATCAAGCTCTTTCCAACGAGACCCTAACCAAGTCAAGGAGTTTGGGAATTGCATAGATTCTGAGGGATTCCTCTAGCGCCAAAGGCGTACCGCCGAAGGCGGATTATGCGCCTTGCGCCGAAAGGGAACTCCTTCGGAGTCGATCGGTCAGGGCGGCGCCTGTTCCGGACATTGCGCCCAACTCCTAGATTCTACGAGATTCTCCATATTCTCTCTATTTTGATGTACCGATCGCTATTTACACTGCTGCTGCGGTACAGTTTGCCAAAAATATTTTAAATTTCGCATAAATACCAAAAGTGGGGTACCACAATAGAAAAACAAATAACAGATTTAATATATTTCTCCTTTGATTCAATAAAGAGAAGCATAGGAAGTTCATTCACAATTTTTCATGCAGGATGATCAACGTGTGCATGCTATGGCCCCAGTTTTGGATCGATAATCTGCTGGGTTTCGCGAAAATATAACTGACCGTAGAAAAGTCATATACTGTTGCGGAAAGTATGAAGACTGAAATTTGTACAACATACTTTGTTACTATGCATACTTCGGAGAGATACATTATCCAGACCAAAGTCCAATAGCCTTGGGACAGAAGTTTCATGATTTCAAATACATGCATAATATTCATATTCAAAGATTGCAGCAGTTGCTTGAAGTGACAAGGTTTATGGAGAAAAATCACAGTCCAAGATATATGTTGCTGTGTATGCATTGGGTGCAGGCTTCAGAATGAGCAACCAGAAAGTGTGCTTATCTGCCTTTATTTATAAACTTGCTGCAATTATCTCATCGTTGACGACGTCGGCAGTTGTCGAAACAATTCAATAGCGTATAACTATGTACAGTTGCGAACACTTCGACGGCCTGGGCCGAACCTATCCATGGCTAGACCAGTGTTAAGATCAAATCCAAACTCAAATGCTTATAGTCCGCTGCCTTCGTGCGGATCGACACGTTTCAACAAAAATATTCTAGCATTTCTGTACAAGTATCTTCGTGGATGTCAAGAACTACATATTCCTCTTGAAAATTGGCTCCCGCCTGGTGTCAGTCGAACCATCAAGAGTGGACAGCGGCCGAGCTTCGAAGTGCTCCATGTTTATAACTTACTTTTTCATTTTAGGAAAACATATAAATTATAATTTATTTAATTGGTGTTTCCATTATTTTCTTTATCAAAGAAAATAATGGATTTTCAAAAACTTATTAATGGACATTGGAAATTCGCACAACACCACCCGAATTAGAATGTCGAGACAACACTCATAGCCCTCATAGCAACAACAGCAGCAACAGAGAGTGAAGGTGCTGCACAGAGATTTCAGGATAAAGTCAGAGTTATGAGTTTCATCATTGCCTTGATAACAACTTCTTCTGATGTCTTTCTAAACCAAACCTGAACGTCTCTTTTGATGTTGCCTCTCATTGTCTCCAAACATTTTGAAGCAAAGAAACATGCAATAAACTGCGTAATCCCTGGCCATATTGTGAGGCGAAAAGGAAACATGATGAGTCGTGAGGTACAATAATAACACCCCCTGATGGAAGGATTCCATCAGGGAGTTTTATTATTTGCAAGTGGCACGTAAATAGACTGCCGGCTGATGCGTCACTGTCCAGATGATAATATTCTTACCAGGCGTACAGACATCCTCTGTCCTCTTTTCGTTTCTTTATGAGTTCCTTGGCAGACATATTCTGATAAACTGGAGCGTCCATGATGCTCTGCTTCACACGTCGGCCAAGGTTATTGAAAACACCAGAACTTTTCCATAAACGAGAGCGTACTTCCGTTCATAAAGAATACCACTTTTGGCAAAAGCATGTGCCAGAGGTAATTGCAGAACAACCATAACGAACAAAGGCGCAAATGCATCGGGTTATTCAAAAACATTCGAAGGCCTCCAAGTTACTGATTCAAGGTCTCAAGTGAGTCTTTCTTGGACTAATGCAGGGAGCCAATTGACTGAGGTGTGTAATCTGAAATCCGAATGACAATTTTCTTGAAGATAAGTTTGTTCGAACTCTACCTCTTCCTTGTAGCAAAGTCACCTCTGTATCTTACCCATGCTCGTTGGGAGAGGAAATCCTAGATCCGAGAACTGCAGTACCATGTAATTGCACGTGCATATTATAGATTAGTGCTCACTCTCTAGCATACGGAATGATACATGGAACGCGTCGATGTGAACAAATTCGTGGGGATTCAACAGGACTCACCTCGCCTGATACGAAGGATCTGAGGGAGGAATCAGCTGCCACAAGTCACCATAATCTGTTTGCTGTCACAGCTGCACACACAAAGATATACTAGCTCCTGCGAACTCCAGACGTATAATTTATCATCAGTTCCTGATTTATGAACCCTGTGCACGTGGTTCGTGGAAAATATTGTGTGTGTTTGGAATTGGTGTCCAGAAACTTTATAAGGCTGGGGAGATTGTGTCCGGGGACAAGTGGGTTGTGCAGCGTGGCCAGCTAGGGAGGCGTTCCTCATTCTCGCTGCCCTGGCACACAACTGCCGGGTCAACCCCAACGAGTCTCTCGGTCCGAATATTAGGACTCGATCCATCGCCATGCGGTGACTTACGGGCACTTGCAGACACTCGAACTCCAGTGGAGTTGTTTGAGAAAAGCTAGAGGGAAATGAAATGCTAAGACCTTAATTACTAATGGTCATGTACGTTCTTCTGATCCAGTCACACTACATGTGCTACCAAATGACTTCTTTGTGAATCGCATTTCTATGATAGAATACTGGAAATGCAATCATTGTTATGATATAATTTTGGGAGAGATCAGTGGGTGCACTTTACGTCATTGCACGTAAGTTTAGAAAATGACTATTTTTTCTTCTGATTCGAAACAGAGACACCACGATCGGACTCAAAGATTGATTGACTCACAATAATGAAAATTACATGAACTTGTGCCCCTTACGAGAACAGATCATCGTCGTCTCCATGTCGTAAAGAGTCCCATAAATTTGTTAAGAAAAAACTCGGTTTGTCAGCGGCTCTATAAGGTGAACGAAGGTGTAATCGAACAGAAAATATAGAGGGGGCGCTCTAACTCTGAGGCAGCATTAGTAAGCTAAATCCGTTCCTCCCGATAGCGACAGCCGACCTGTCTGGGAACGGCAGAGCGTGTCGTAGAGATCAGTATCAACTACGAACCTGCACATGCGCCGGATCCCAAGCCGACTTCCGTGACGTCGAAGACAAATCATGCCGGACGTAAATCAGAAGGCTATCACAAGTTCTCTCCTTCAGATTGTTCTGTGAGCTGGAGATGACGGATCATAGACGACCGGATCCCCATAGACTAGTAAATCCGGACATCCCGAGCTGTCACGCGTGGCTGTGACACCACAGAAGGTCGGTACAAATCCTAATGAGTCATTGATTGCGACAGCTTTGTAAATGAAGTTTTACACACTAAATAGACATATTGTAAATACGATGATATAGATATGAAATTGCTTATTTGATTCAGAATATTAAAGATTTCTTGTTAAATTATTTGTTAAAAATTTATTATTCATCCAAAATGTCTCTATTCAAAAATCAAATTTTAGCCATAATTATAACTAATACTTTATTTTTACCTAGTTATAACAATAATTTTTTCTTTTCATTCATTGCAAAATTTATGAGAATTAATTTCATTTTACTATTCAAGATGAAATTATTTGATCCATATCCTTGCGTGACATAAATGAAATATTGTTTGAGTTTGTAATGTTAAGCATTATAAACAAAATTGAAATGCGAAGTAAATCATTCATTTTACTTTCAAAGCACAGAATACACAAGAGTGAAACCTTAATTTTGTGCTAAAAATATTCTTAGCACTTCTATATGTTAATGACTAAGTGTTTGGATTTTTCATTGTCAAATCAACTTAATTTCATCAAAATTTGGTTTGGTTTTTACAACTCCACCTTAATATATATCATCAACATAATTTTTTAATAAAAATTTATTTATTAATTCAATATTTATTGAAATTATAATTCCAACGAAATAAAATAAAATAATATATATAGATCTATCAGTCAATCAACATCATATATATGATTTATTACATTAAATATTTTATACAATATCACAATGAAATTTTCACCAAGTGAACTATTTTAGTCGGTACATATTATCCGTATTAATTCAATCATCAATTGCTCATCCGCTACATGGATTATTGATTTGCAGGTACTACTGCAACCTGGTCACACAAAACATAAACAAACTGCAATGCTGTAACCTGTATAACAAGAAAGAGAACAAAACACAAGAGCAAAAGAACTCAGCAAACTGATGGTGGTGGTAAAATGACTTACTTTCTTTTCGTATTAAGAGATGTTTATATACAACTAACACTAACCTGAGAGCTTGGCACGTATTACTACTAGTCATAAAGAATACATAGGGACCATGCCCTAGTATTGGGATTTACTATCACAGCATGAATTCCATGCAGGAGTTAACTACCTAACTACACTAGGCGTGTATAGGGAGACAAAGAGCAGTCACTATTCTAATGATAGTTGACAACTACAATTGCAGATATATTACTAAAACTAGAAGACAACAAAGATTATCTAACAATACTCCACTAATCTAGTTGACTAGTTGGCGAGAATCTTGACTACGCCGATCTTCAAGCGCAGGTCTAGGAATCTAACTCGGCCAAGAGATTTTGTAAGAATGTCTGCCAGCTGAACGGGTTGTACTAAATTGTCTGTGACATTGACGGAGGAGTTGCCTGATCAGGACGTCGAAGTCGATCTTGCTTGGTTGAACATGCATCTGATCAGCTTCCTGTGAACTGTCTTTCTCGTTCCCAGCTGCAGTCTTATGGAAGCCGAGACTTTCTGGAAGTCTGAGCGCATCTGGAAAGCGGCTAGATTACGTTCAGCGAATAGATCCAAGAATCATTTCCCAGTCTGATACATCGAAAGTGTGGAAGTCTCGCCGCTGGAAGTGGACCCCGTCGAGAGGAAAGGATTCCTGAGTTCTTCAGGGAGGAGCGACATGCATTTCTGTCAAATGTGGTCCTATCATAAAATAAAACGTGGTGGGTCCCATCAACTGATTTGAGTCTCCAACGGTCCCATCAAGTAATTACAATGAAGCTTCTCCAAACTGGAGACAAAAGCTTCCAAGAGGAGTAATACTGCAATCATGAATCGTCGTGGAATCTGGCTTTACTTTACACAGTCCAATTGGAGCAACTCAGTGCAGTCAACGCTGTGCTATCTACAGGCCCAGCAGCAGTAGCACATGTGTATGGCGGACAACGAGTCCCCATTCATGCGGAATCTCGTAAGCCCCGGTTGGACCCCGGGGTCCAGCCGGGTGCAAAGCGAGCAGTCGCGTACGCATCAGTCAGCTGCTGAATGATTCAGTCTATGTCGGTTCGTTGAACACTCCGTATCTACCTTTATTGAAATGGCGAGCGAAATCTTGAGTATGCAGTAGCCAGTGTCGTGCGCGGGGCACTGTTCTCAGCGTTCCGATCACGACCCCGATCACAATCACGACCCCGATCGGAATTCCGATCTCGAAGGCCCGCCAGAATGTACCATCCAGGAGCTTGAACGGCGGAGCCCCGAGTGTGGCCGAGCTTCCGCTTGCGTTGCTGTCTTGCGCCGCACAAGTGGTCTCGAGCGGGGCCCCGCAGAGCTGATCGTTCCCGGGCTTGAAGGACGTAATGTCGTACCTCGTGGAGAAAGCATTCGCCGTGGGGATCTCGCCCTCGAGGAAGTTGTAGGAGAGATTCAGATAGCTCAAGCTGGGCCTGCTCAGCACCGCAGGAATCTTCCCCGTGAGATAGTTGGCCGACAAATCCAGCGACTGAAGACGCAGCAGATCTTCGAAAACCTGAGGGATTTCGCCCGAGAAATTATTGTGCCTCAGATTCAAGTACGTCAACCCGCGCAGGTCTCCAAGCGCGTACGTGAGCCTCCCAGAGAGCTGGTTGTATGACAGGTCGATGGAGAATAGAGTCTCGAGGACGTACTCGAGTTCGAGTCGCGAACCTTTGGCCTCAATGGAGATTTGCACTTTGAAGGCGACGTCTGGCGACGCTTCGAGTCGAATAAAGCCTTCCAAGCCCGAGAGATTGGTCGGGCACACTCCCGTGAACGAGTTGTGCGACAAGTCGAGCACTTGCAGCTCCGGAAGCTTCCAGATCCAGCCGGGCACGCTGCCGCCGAATTTGTTGGATGATAATTTCAAAACTCGCAATTCGCGCAGCACTGGCTGAGAGTACTCGTAGTTGTCGGGGAGCTCCTCTGAGAATTCATTGCTGCTCAGGTCCAGGAGCTTCAGTTCCGTGCAGTTGTACACGCTCACGGGAAACTCTCCGCTCAGCTGGTTCCCGTTGACAGAGAAGGTCTCGAGGGATCGCAGCTGCAAGAAGTCAATCTGAGTGACTGTGCCCGTGAGCTTGTTTTTGCTCAGCCTTATGTTTCTCATGGAGCTGCAGTTCGCCAGAGACGCGGGAATGGTTCCCGTGAGGTTGTTGCTGTGGAGGAAGAGAGCCACCATGTACTGCAGTCGCCCCAGCTCTGGAGGGATTCCTCCCGTCAGAGAATTGTTGCCCAGACTGATCGAATAGAGCAGCAAGAGGTTTCTCAGCGGCTCCAACGTGCCCGTGAACCTGTTGTTATATGCGTACAGGTAAAGGAGCTGCGAGAGGTTTCTCAGCGGATCCAGCGTGCCCGTGAACCTGTTGTTCGATACTTCTATCAAATAGAGCAGCGAGAGGTTTCTCAACGGCTCCAGCGTGCCCGTGAACCTGTTGTACCCTACGGACAGCCATTCGAGCAGCGAGAGGTTTCTCAGCGGCTCCAGCGTGCCCGTGAACCTGTTGTTCGATGCTTCTATCGAATAGAGCATCAAGAGATCTCTCAGCGGCTCCAGAGTGCCATTGAGATTGTTGTTCTTTGCGAGCAGGTAACCGAGCAGCGAGAGGTTTCTCAGCGAGTCCAGCGTGCCCGTGAGATTGTTGAACCCTACGGACAGGGATTCGAGCAGCGAGAGATTTCTCAGCGGGTCCAGCGTGCCTGTGAGATTGTTGTTCTCTGCATTTATCCAATAGAGCAGCGAGAGGTTTCTCAGCGGCTCCAGCGTGCCCGTGAGATTGTTGTTCGCTGCATTTATCCAATAGAGCATTGAGAGGTTTCGCAGCGGCTCCAGCGTGCCCCTGAGCCTGCTGTACCCTACGGACAGGACTTGGAGCCACGAGAGGTTTCTCAGCGGGTCCAGTGTGCCTGTGAGATTGTTGTTCCTTGCTTCTATCCAATAGAGCAGCGAGAGATTTCTCAGCGGCTCCAGCGTGCCCGTGAGGTTGTTGTACTCTACGGACAGGAGTTGGAGCCGCGAGAGGTTTCTCAGCGGGTCCAGCGTGCCTGTGAGATTGTTGTTCTCTGCATTTATCCAATAGAGCAGCGAGAGGTTTCTCAGCGGCTCCAGCGTGCCCGTGAGATTGTTGTTCGCTGCATTTATCCAATAGAGCATTGAGAGGTTTCGCAGCGGCTCCAGCGTGCCCCTGAGCCTGCTGTACCCTACGGACAGGACTTGGAGCCACGAGAGGTTTCTCAGCGGGTCCAGTGTGCCTGTGAGATTGTTGTTCCTTGCTTCTATCCAATAGAGCAGCGAGAGATTTCTCAGCGGCTCCAGCGTGCCCGTGAGGTTGTTGTACTCTACGGACAGGAGTTGGAGCCGCGAGAGGTTTCTCAGCGGGTCCAGCGTGCCTGTGAGATTGTTGTTCTCTGCATTTATCCAATAGAGCAGCGAGAGGTTTCTCAGCGGCTCCAGCGTGCCCGTGAGATTGTTGTTCGCTGCATTTATCCAATAGAGCATTGAGAGGTTTCGCAGCGGCTCCAGCGTGCCCCTGAGCCTGCTGTACCCTACGGACAGGACTTGGAGCCACGAGAGGTTTCTCAGCGGGTCCAGTGTGCCTGTGAGATTGTTGTTCCTTGCTTCTATCCAATAGAGCAGCGAGAGATTTCTCAGCGGCTCCAGCGTGCCCGTGAGGTTGTTGTACTCTACGGACAGGAGTTGGAGCCGCGAGAGGTTTCTCAGCGGGTCCAGCGTGCCTGTGAGATTGTTGTTCTCTGCATTTATCCAATAGAGCAGCGAGAGGTTTCTCAGCGGCTCCAGCGTGCCCGTGAGATTGTTGTTCGCTGCATTTATCCAATAGAGCATTGAGAGGTTTCGCAGCGGCTCCAGCGTGCCCCTGAGCCTGCTGTACCCTACGGACAGGACTTGGAGCCACGAGAGGTTTCTCAGCGGGTCCAGTGTGCCTGTGAGATTGTTGTTCCTTGCTTCTATCCAATAGAGCAGCGAGAGATTTCTCAGCGGCTCCAGCGTGCCCGTGAGGTTGTTGTACCCTACGGACAGGAGTTCGAGCCGCGAGAGGTTTCTCAGCGGGTCCAGCGTGCCCGTGAGGTTGTTGCTCGCTGCCTGCAGCCATTGGAGCTGCGTGCAGTTGTTGAGGCTGTCGGGCAATTCCCCGTCCAGCTGGTTGCTGCGGAAATCGAACACTTGGAGGTTGGCCAGCTGCCCCAGGTTCTCGGGGAGGCCGCCGGTGAACTCGTTGTCGAACATGTACAAGATCGTCAGCGCCGTCATGGCCGTCATAGCTCTGGGAAAGGCGCCACGAAAGTTGTTCCCGTCGATGAAGAGCTTTTCCAGCCGACTCCACGAAGTGGACTCCACTGTCAGAAAAATCCCCGTCAGGAAGTTGTTACTCACGTTCAGGAACTCGAGCTCCGACAGCGACGCCAGCTCCACGGGGAACTCTCCCTCCAAGGCATTATTTCCCAAGTGCAGATACTTGATCTTCGTCAGGTTGCCCAGCTCGGACGGGATGGAGCCTGTGAAATTGTTCTGCTCGAAGCTCAGATACTCCAGATTGACGAGCTGGCCGTACTCTCTCGGAATGGGACCCGTCAGATATTTGTTGCCGAAGAAATCCAAGTACCACAGCTTTGTGCAGTTGGCGATGGACTTGGGAATGGGGCCTCTCATCTCGTTCGACTGGTAACGGAAGTACTCCTGCTTGGCGTCGAAATTGAAGACCGCGCCCAGGGCCAGAACCTCGAGCTCAGAGAGCAGACCCAGCTCCTCCGGAATGAACCCGTTGAAGAACTTGTCCTGTGCTCCGATGTAGAGGACTCGTAGGCTGGACATGTTGCCGTACTCTGCGGGAACTCCACCAAAGAGAAAATTATCGTGGACGTTCAAGGACTGCAGTCTCTGCAGCCGGCCCCATTCCACGGGAAGCTCGCTCAACAGGAAATTGTGGCTCAGATCGAGGTCCACGAGGTATTCGAGCTTGCTCAACGAAGGACCCAAAGTGCCGTTCATCTTCAGCCTGGAGAAGTTGAGGGAGATCACGTGCAGCTCATCGTCGCAGATGACCCTCGTCCACGAGCAGTAGGCGGAGCGATTCCCCGTTGTCCAATCATCCAAAGCGTTGTCCGTGTAGTTTTCGATTTCGGCCTTGAATTGCAGGAGCGCATCGGCCTCCCTGCGACAGTGGCAACACATTGGACTCGTATGGCGTTAGAGATGAATTTCACTCACTCGCCCAAGCATGCGCATTGCTGTGCACATGCTCGGACGAAGGACAAAAGCGACAGGTGCAGAACTGTGCACTTCTCTATCAGATGATATCTTGCTGCGAAATGTAACTGACCCGAAGCTGTCTTGGAGCAAAGTGCGGGATATTGCTCTGGAGTGTGCAGATTCCTCCTGAAAACGATGGAGAGGCTCATGACATTTCGTTAACAAAGTTTCGACGGCTTGGTCCTGAAGTTTAAACTGCTGCAGCTCTCGCTGGCTCCTGGGACCGCCGTGTGTTTGTTGCTGGCCCATATGCGCCTCGACGGAGGAAGCCAGAGAAGGTCCACTCTCGATGTTGATGCTGCCATGCTCTTTCGCGGCCGATTCTGCACGTGCGTCGAAATCTGGATCCTGTAGAGTCTCAACAAGAGTCTCGATTGTGCTTATTTCTCTGAAGGTGGTATCCTCCTGACCAACGGCGCAAGCACCGAGCTGGATGCAACAAAGCACCAGAATCACCAACATCCTGAAGCGTTTGCGGAGAGCGGGCAGATCAGGAGCGTAAACGACCGATGCCCGACCTGTAGATCTTCTGAGTAAGTGCATGGTGTCCACCTCCAGAGAAATATAAAACTCAATTCTCGATGTATTGTTCAATCTCCATGCATCGTGGAATTGCGAATTATAAATCAAGTGCACGGTCAAGTGCAATTTTCCATTCTTCACCCATCCGTCTCACCGTGCGCCCTCCGTCTCACCGAGCGCTCCTTCCCTCAGCTCTCGTCCTACACAAAAACCAAGCTGCATACGGTCGTCGTCTTCTGCTTCTTCTTGCCAAAATTTGTCAGAAAATTCTACCCGACAATTTGCCCTGACCTCCGAACGCCTCCACACAAATTCACACCGCCATCCTCCCCACCTGATCTACGCGTCTACTGCCTCGCACCGAGAACCACCACCTAATCCTCGATTGCCGTCCGTCGTCGCCAGATCACTCGACTCGCCCGCCACCAACAACAACAACTCGCCACAATGTCTCCACCCTGCAGCAGCAGCAGCTCCTTCGCCACCGCCCGCCCTCCGCTTCACGAAATCCGACCTCCTCATCGCCCGCCCTCCCGCACTAACCCTGCATCTCTACCGAGCGCCTTACGAGTCCATCGCCTCCTCATCCTCCTCCTCCTTCCTTGCCTTCCATGCGCTCAGATCGATCCGACCCTGCGCTCCTCGTCTCCCCTGCTGGGTTCCGAGAATGGGCAGCTAAGCCCTCACTTCACTTTGAGGATCGAATGCTTTCTGTACGCCTCCCTGGGCACGCATGAACGAACTAGGTGGTCTACGGTCATGGAAATTTTAATTATCAACTCCCCGCTTGGATTCATCGGCCACCATGCAAAGCTTTTAATCGTCGTGACGTGTGCAAAGACTTTTTGGCGGGGCTTCCTTTTCTTCCTCACATTGTCTCCTTTGAAAGGCTAATCTACGCCAATGAGCCTTCTTTCCTTCCTCTTCTCTTGGAATCAAAGTTCATCAACCTGCAGGGTTACATGATTCTGGATTGGAATTTGATTACATCTGCAACTACGTAGAGCTTGAATTGAGCATCAAGATATGAGAACAGATTGCCCAATTCTAGCATATACAAAGTAATGGTGAAGAGATCTGAAGGGCAGCAAGCTCGAATTGCAAAATCTATGCATTTGCTGTACTGTGCTCAGAGGAGAGAATCGTACTCTGTCGCTGAGATGTCTACTCTGGTTGCGGTGTGACCTGAAGGGCAGAATGCAAAGTATCGTTCTCCATTTTGGGAAGCAAGCTTCTGTTGAAGACAAAAGGTCTCAAACCTGACTGACCAACTGTTTGGTGTCCCCGTTATTGATTCCAACATTTGTCCCCGCAATGTGCGGAAATAAATTTTGCTTCTTGGAAAATGAGCTTGGAAGTTCCGATGTTCCAAAGGAGCACACAGTGACATCACCTCCAGGAGCCCTTAATCTGTGTCTTCGATTTGTGTGCATAATGAGAAGCCGTTAATTCAGTCCTACAAAGTGAGATTATAATGCCGTGCCAAATTTGTAAGTTCATCCCCATGTTACACCTTTGGTTTCATCTATCTACAACTTCATGAGTTCTTCCTAGAAATTGTGCTATATCACTTCCTACTTTTTCTGATTAGAGAGAAACAAGGATTTGGCAGCTGTATGGTTACGATTGACCCGTCTGCAGAAGCTGAAGGCACAGTTGTTTTAGCTGTATGTGAGTTATAGAGCATTGTAAGCGAGCTGAGTGCATTCTTCTAAGAACCACATAATAACGCGAAAAGATCAAGGTTTACTTCTATGGAGTTGATACATTATATGTGGAGTTGTAAAATTTCGAATGACACAGGTAACTGGCAAAGAAAGTAAACGTTGAAGCTAATGAAGAAAGTGTTGTTCTCTGGGTAGAAAAACAGGTGTAGATATCTTAAGTATATCAGAGTTCACTGATCGTGAATGACAACGTCTGCAATCCAGGGTCAGGACGATGATGACGATAAAGTGTGCATAGGTCATGCTTTAATCAGATTCTGCACTTGCATGGATGGCACTTCAAAAGAGAACGACTTTATTTCATATCCAAATCCAAGCTTTAGTATCATCTTCAGTGGCCAAGACTTGTGTACCATGCTAGAAAGTGCTTGTAGTTGACTTTTGTCGCTCAAGACTTTAGCCGGAGTCTCACGAGAACCTTAGGTAATCGTGACATGGACTCCTTAATCTTTGTGCCAGTTGTCCGTAATCATCAGAGGGATGCACCCTGAACTCACCCACCCATTAGATAATTAGTATGCTCACATCTTTAATCAACGGTGCCATGATTTCATCAGCAAGATCCGTGGATATGTCGTACAACGTAAAGCATCTTCAAGGCTTGCATGTATGTTTTATGTAGGATCTAGGGAAGTGACCTGTAGATACGGCGGAGAACCACAGAGCTAAAAGAGAGCTAAAACAGCCCGGAGGTGGGACATGAGTCATGTCCCATCCTGCGTCATGTGACATGACGCAGGATGCACATAAAGTCTCATGAAGACGGCTTTGCAAGGCCCAATGAGATGCTCTGCAAGCCATTCCGATTATTAAGAAAGAACAATGTCACAATTATTGCTGCATCATTCTCATGAAGGAATGCGCAAGAGATCAAAGGAGTGCAATCAAAAGTGGCGAATCATACAAATCGAAGTTGATGAAAGAAGAAAATAGTGACATGAAGAGCTTAAATAATTTTTGTTATTGAACAAAGGTTTATTATTAGAACTTATAGATCTTCAAAATTCGGCCAAAGGGACTTTGTCTTTGGCCTTGAAACATGGATCTTGCGTTAGCCTTTTCTTTGCATTGGAGTGTCAATTGGAGTTAAAATTTAATGGGGTTGTTGGCTTCAGCCAAGCGCACATGCGGAATTTTAGCTTCAACATAGCTCATTTGAAGAAGTTATTAATTCGGAGCTTTGAGTTTGTGTGAACCATCGGACTTCGTTGAAGAAGTGACATTGGACTTAGACACCTTTAGACTTTGAGAGTCAATTCAAGCCCACAACAAAGAGGTACAACGCGGGAATGAGCTTATGGTGAGTTTGGTGGAGCAGACAAAGAAGCACGAGGCCGAATTGGCTAGTAGGGCGACAAAATTGACAGAGTGTGAAACGGCCAAGTCTTCAGAGGTTGAATGTAGACTAAAATTGGATGCCGATTGCGATAGGCTGCGAGATCAGTTGAAGACGGTTACAGAGCAGTTAGAGATGTTGCGGACCAGAGCGGAAGCGGCGGAATTGGCGTTTTGACAGTTGAAGTAGGAGACGACCGACAGTTTTTGTTTGCGTGTTGAGGAGTGTCTGTGCGGTTTTTTTATGTGGAATGTCCAAACGTTGAAGTGGATGAAATTGGATTCGTTGCAGCGACGATTTATGGTATTTGAGATTAGTGGAACCGTCGGGCAGCATCAGTTAGTTAGATTAGTCAATTCTTTCTCTTCTGGATTGAAAGAAGCGCTGGAGAACTTACAGATCAAGATTTTAGGCGTGTTGCGTAGATTAGGAGCCGACTCAACCTCAGAGTACACGGTAACCGCTGCGTCGGATGATACTGCGCCTGAGATTAGCTCGCCTCGGGGGGTTGAGATATCTAGGATTCAGAGTGAATAAAGAGACCCAAGGCCCTTTCCTTGGGGGGGCTTTTCTGTTAATTGTTTCGTCTCGGCTATCAACCTGTGTCTACCGTGCGTGTTCGTGAAATTGTGAGTGTTTGTCACCGTGCATGTTGCACTTTAGTTTGTCAAAATCACCGCATCTGAAGTCGCGAGAGTCCGATTCGGATGTTTCGAGTGTGCCTGGGAGTATTCGGAATTTAAGCAAGTTTGAGTTCGGGTATTCAGAGCAGTAGGCTGATGTGGTAGGCCAGTGTTTTTGTTTTTTCCAGAAATGGACTAATAGGATGGAAAATCCACGTCGTTTTTAACTCTTAGAGTAAAAGTAGTTAGATTAGAATAGAATAGGTCTTTTATGCAAGAAGTGAGGTGAGGCTAAAAAATGAAGTGAGGCTAAAAAAGAAGTTGTTGGCTTCTTATGTAATAATCCACCAAAGGCTAAACTGCAATATAGTGGTAGAAAGGTCGAACCCACAGGGACAGAGGCAACACACAGAGTACAAAGTGTCACATTTAACAGACTATTGAAGAGTTTGAATTCTCAGGCGACTGTCACTCCCAGAAATATTGCAAGTGTTCACTCGGAGCTCACTTGGAGGTCGCACAGTGCAGCGTAGTTCACTCAACACACACACACACACACACACCTGAACTATAGAAACACAACTCAGAGATCGGTTAGGATCTCTACTTAAGATTTCAGGGGGAAAGTCTCTCACGAATACACTCAGCGGATCTGCGGGTAGTGAGTCCCAACTCTGGCTTTTACAACCCTTCCACTAGCTTCTGCTAGCACAGGGGACCGGGATTGGACTTCCTACTTCGGATCGAAGTCACTCACACGCAGTGAACAACACACTCAACTCAGAAAACGCGCAGAGAATACAGGTCCGAACTGAGAGACTCAACTGAGAAACGATCCAGTAGCACACCATAAGAGTCCATTGAAGAGTTTGAATTCTTAGGCACTTGTCATTCCCAGAAATACTACAAGGGTTGCCCTGAAGGCACCTGCTGCAGCGTAACCTGAATTTACAACCAATGCTTACCCGAAGTAGCAAAACTTCACTTTGGCATTCAGGGGAAAAATCCCGAAGGAGTACAATCAGGAACAATCACTCGAAAGTGTAAGGGGGAACTTTTCAAGTATCTAACTAGTAACTCGCTCTGAGCATCGGCAATCACCCGTAGGTGTAGATCCAAACTACTCAAATCTCTAACCAGTATACTAGCTCTGAACGTTCGGCCGAAGGCCTTTAGCTACAAAATGCGGATCGCCAAGTTGTAGCTCCTCTTGCGTCGTGACAGAAATAAGGACACAAACACGCAGAGAAAATGAGTTCCTGATGTGCACTTCCAAAACTGGAAGAATCCCAAGGCAAGACGCCTTGACCTACTTTATACGTTCTAAGTTCTAACTAACATTACACTGCACTACGCTACGCGCCTGCACGGAACCACGCTACACTACACTCCGCAGAACCTGTGCTTCGCCTTCTGCGCAACGGACTGCCGCGCACTAACTCTCTACCCTGCCAGTCTTCCGCTCGACTGCGCAGTCCCAGCCGCCGCAACACCGCAGTAACCTCTGTCTCGAGGGTGGCCATGGTGTCCCGCGACTTCGACAGAAACGAATCCAGCTTCTTTGCCACTCGCCGCCGGCTCCGACTGTCACCTGACATCAAACCCGCCGCTCGAAGCTCTAACTCGCGCAGTGTGAGTTTTCCCCAGGCGCCGCTGTGGTAACCCACTTTTTGTTTTTCGTCGGAACTAAAACATTTTTGAATAGTAAGTACCGCGGTAGCAGCTGTAAATAGTAATCGTTACGCAAAACCAGAGTAAAAAGAGGATCGAGGACAGTCAAGGGGTTTTGGGCTTAGGCCACAGTGGGACGCTTGGGACAGAACGGGCGGTTCATGCTGTAGGATCCGCTTCGAGCACCTTCGGCGGTAGATCTGTAAGACCGGTTGTTGCACATATGTACTAAGTCTTAGAAGTGGTCAAGGGAATAAGGATGATTAGCCAAGGCATAGCTAAGACTAGCTAGTTATGACTAAACT